CCACTTTTCCTCGATCACTAATCCTTTTGAGTTTCTTTTTGTAACATCAATCAAATAATTTTTTTAAAATTAAATAATTGAAGTGTAGTATGTGCACCTTTCAAATTAGTAGCAATATTTAGCATAAAAAAATCATGATAATCTTTTCTTATGTTTATTAAATTGATACTAACTTAGTACTCGGTAAATCTTTTCAAATTATAGAAATAGGAAACCAATATATTGTTTTAATTAGCTTGAAGAATTTCTTTCCTCTTAGATTTGAAAGTAATTCAACTATTCTTAATTACCTTACAGTGTATGTGGTGACAGGGGCGGACTATAAGAGGGGCTTCACAGGGCTTGGCCCCTGAAACTAAGAAAAAAGAAAAGATAATTAAATATACTTTCCAATTCCCTAAAAAGTACCTGACAAACTCAAACCCTTTCCCCTCCCTCTATTACACATTCTTCATCAACAAAAATTACACAATTGATAAATATTAACTTTTTTTAAGGTTTCAATTCAATTCCAACTTCCAATATCATTATATTAGGTATTATACTCGACTACTTCCTCAATTTTTTGTTTTTAAGTTTTTGGTTTTCAATTTTTTTTTTACTTTTTGCAATTTAATTTTTTATGTTATACTCCATACTTCGTATTGATTAATTTGAACATAAAAAACAAATTGATAATTTTAGGCGACAATACGTTATCAAAGTCAATAAATTACTCAGTTAAAAGTATAGAGCACGTTTTGCCTTCAGTATGTCGTTCATTATTTTTCTATTAATATTTATCAATTGATTGATAAATAATTTCTAACTTTTGATTTATACTTGTGATTTGTGAATTGTAATGCATTGATAATTAACAAATTAGTCACTAATGAATGTATTATCTTAAAGTTAGTTTCTTGTTTTCGTTCATATTATATTTTTGAATTGGCCCATGAAAGAAAAGGTTTCAAGATCCGCCACCGTGTGATGATGTATGTACTACCCCCATTCTTACTCAATCACTAACTCAATTATGTGGTGATGTAAACGAGATTTCACCTTATATTTAAGTATCACTTTATACCTTATAAACTTTGATCACATAGAACTCTTAAAAGTTGATAATATAGCAAATTCCTAAAATATTGTATTTAATTTAATTCAATATGGCTTGCGTTAGGATAGACATTGTTCATGAGATAGTTCAAGGTTAATGACTTGACAACCCAAATAATCTGTACAATTATGTGCGAGCCTCCAACGTGAAACTTGACATCAACTCAATATGGATAAAATAAAAAAAAAATAAAAAAAATAAAAAATAAATAAAAAAAAGTTAACGAAATCTTTAGCTCCCGACCTAAGAACTTGGAGGACCTACATAAGTACTTTTAACTGCTATTGAAGGTGTTACTAGAACAAAAATGAAGTGAATGTATGGTTGACGATCAATGGGAGATGTACATTAACCAATTGCTAGCAAATATGGACCCCCTATACTATGCACCACACACTTCATTTCATGGTCTTCCTCATTATAGACGACAATTTTTTAGCTTAATTATTTTCTAGCTTTCTCTTTATATATCCTTTTTTTTCTTTTTCTTTTTTTTTTTTTTTTTTTTGTTATCACTAGGCTGTTGGAGTGTTGGTTCTTTTGTGACTTCCATTTTTATCACTTGCTATTTTTTGGTTTTTTTTTTCACTACTTTATTAATGTTGCCTATAATATGTAACTTGTATAATCCATAAGTCTTTTGGTGTTTAGAAAGCCACAAGGACTGGTGATGAGAATTGATCCAAAGATCTCTTGGGATCGAGAGGGAAGATCTAACCACTTGAGCTATCCCTTACTCTCTTGTATACTCCATTAGTTAAGTACGATTCTAAACTTTTTTGTTCCAATTCGCCCTTTGCTCTTTGAATTCATCTATATGGACATTATACAAAGTATGTTTTTGAATTCATCTTAATGGATAATTAGATACTTGTATTTTCAACATAGTAACTTTTTCTGTTTTTTCACAATAATTAAGATATACATAACTAGTCAAACTTGCATATTAACAAGTATGGCAATCAAATGAATATAACAAAGGAAGTAAAATTCTATACAATGGTTTTGATTTGGGTAGTTCTTTCAACCCTCCAAATTCAAACGTTACTTCCGAGGGAGGAACTAGAACGAAGTGTTGTAAAAAGACGGTCATCACTAGACTCATTACCTTTTTGTCTTTGGTGTTACTTGTCAAATGCTTTCTTCGTATACTTCATAATGCTAGTACGTGTCTTCAACGTGATATGCATTGTTGCTACTCTTAATTTGGAAATAAGCTAAGATATTTAAATATGGATTAATATAATAATTTCGAATAAGTTCATATGTAATATGTAGTACTAAGATTTGTCCCTTTTATTTTGAAGTAATTGACATGCTCTTTAAACATGCATGATTAAGATAATAATTGATGAAGAGTGGGAATAATAAAATGAGTTATAAATCAGAGTATTTAACTAAAGTAAAGTTAATGGATATATTTTATTTTATATGGAGTATTATTATGAAAGGAGATATTTTCAACCTCAGAAACTCAGAAAAATTAGTGGGTCATTATTTAATTCTTAGGGATGGAAACAATTTGTTACTTACTTTCTACGTGACAACTTCATTTTTTCCAGATTTGTTTGGTTATCTCTACAAAACGGTCCAAATTTAATTACGAAGTATATATCATCTTAAATTTATTGTTTTTAAATTTTGATAAAATCGAATATTAATTTACCTCGGTATTTGGTTTTAAGCCTTAGCTTGTGAGCTACATGCACCGAAGTTACTCTAATCACAGTATCACACCTATTTATTTACTTGTATTAAAGTATACTCTATATTACACTATCTCCAGTGGTGAGACTTGAAAAAGTTTTTTAAGAGAAAGAGAGAAATTTTTACAAGGATACCAATAAGTTGGTATTTAAACTTAACAACTCTAAAAGAAAGTTGCTAAGTTTAGATATCCAATTTTGAGTCTCATTTGACAAAAAGTGTGATCCCTTATCAATATTATAATATATTTTGTAATTTTTTTTTTTTTTTAAAAAAACTTACAATATGGACTTGGTTGGCCATAAATTGAAAATGACATAATATACTTTAGAGAGTCTCACCATTGGAAAATTAGACTTCACATGAGTTGCTAAATTGAAAAGTGGGTTGGGTATCACCATTAGAGGTAAAAAAAACAACTCATTTTGTATTTCAATACTCAAAGTTGAGCCACACTAATAAAGACTGTCTTACATCTGCTGTATAATGTTCTTAACACGCCTTATAATATAATGTCTATTTTATTATCATAAATTTTTACTTAAAATATTATACTCCATATTTTAGAAATCCAAAGAGATTATATAAATCATTTTACGAGTACTTTAAAGTTTAAATTGAGACGAAAGAGTAAGTTGTAAATACGGTGTAATAAATAAAGGGAAAGGGGGTGAGGACAAGTAATTCGAGGAGCTTCTGTCTTGGACTAGGGCAAGGGACCCATATTAATTCAAAAAAGTGAATATGGATCACCAAGTGTTCCCACGTTGCAACCCGTATGGTTTATATCCCGAGTGGTGTCACTAGGGAGAGAGCAGCCTGTGATTAACATCCATCCTTAATGTTAACATTATTATGGGACCCTATCTATTGTTAAAAATGCAAACCTCCATTGTTTCGAATGGCAATGTCAATGTCCTTTTTTCAATCATTTTCATTTCTTTGTAGAGGATCAGTTTCTTTCCTCTCGAGCCTTTGGACCACTTATTTATCAATCAATCGAATTTGTCAAATGTTCGAGGATTCAAAAGATGTTCTTTTGTTAAATGGTTGCAAATCATTCTTTAGATTACATTTTTTCAAGTTGGGAATTGGCAAATTGAATAAGCATTAGATCTTCCTCTAACTTTGGTCTTTGGCATTAGACCATCGTGTTACTAATTAATGACTAATTAATGGCATTTTTTATAATGTATTTATATTCGTTTTTATAAGCTATCAACATTTATTTATTTAATATCATCTAATATAATCACTAATGACATTAGTTGATTACCTTAATTATAACATGTGAGCATGTACATGGAAATCAATTTGCCAATTGGTATACAAAGTTTGAAAAGTTCCATAATTAAAACAAACAGAAAGAGTATATGAAAGACTAAGTATCTAATTAAGTGTATCCATTTGATTTTACGCTATTAACGTATTAATTTTAACTTGGTTTTAAATTATTATATAGAGGGTGAATATTATTATCTACAGGTTAAATAGAAATTTGTTTCTAATATTTGTGATAGAGGTATAAACCAACGACGGTCAATTTACTTCTACTACGAGCTTAATCTTTTGATTGAATTAGTCCTTTTATATAGTATCAAAGCCTGCATGACAAAGAAGCTCACGTGTTCAAATCTTATCTAGCTAACCTTTCAAGTAGAATATTTAGAGATGGTTTGAGGTAATCCAAATGAGTTGACAAAACCTTCTACAGTAATAAACAAGGTGTCACTAATTGTTTCTCTCTCTAAAAGCTTTTATTTATTCCTAATTATCGAGAGGTTCATGTTGTATTCATATTTCAAACCAACGGGATCTCATGTGAGCGGGCATGATAGGATATATAAACTAATCTTTGGCTTCAACCATGAGCATTGTTTTATATACTATATTGTGTTGCAAGTAAAACTGAATGGACGAAGACCTCGCAATATACTCTATCCGTTTCAAAATAATTAACACATTAGTAAAAAAATTATAACCCAAACTAATACATAAATTATGAAAAAGTCCAAGTTTAATGTATTATGAGACAGAGAGAGTATATTTAAGGTCAAATTAATTTATTAACACGTAGGATAGAGAGCGAAAAAAAAAAGTGTGAAAAGGAAATGAAGAGAGCCAGTAAAAGATAGCCAAGTGGACAAGCTAGAAAATGAACTCGTAGGGTCTATAAATAGGAAGGCAGGAGGTGAGCATTCGACTCACTCCCAACTTCTCAAACGCAGTCGAAGAGAGAGAGATAAAAGCGAATACATACTTCTCGTCTTTCTTCACATCTGTTCTTTTCCTTCTTCCTCATTTCAGTCTTTTTCTCTTTCTCTCTCCCCCTTTCTCAGTTTTTTTTTTTTTATTTTTTTTTATTTTCCCAGATTAAGGAAAACGAAAACAGAGATCCTTAATTTTGTAAAGAACAAAAATGTTTATCGAAAATTTTAAGGTAGAAAGCCCAAATGTCACATACAGTGACAACGAAATTCATTCGATTTATAACTATGAAACTACTGAGTTGGTTCATGAAAATCGTAAAGGTTCTGGTTATCAATGGATTGTTAAACCCAAATCTGTCAAATATGAATTTAAAACTGACACCCATGTCCCTAAACTTGGGTATTTTTTCTTAATCTCTTCATTTTTTAATATAATATAATGTTTTTATGCGTATTTTAATTTACTAAATTTTATCATATGGTTGATTTAATTCAGGGTGATGTTGGTGGGTTGGGGTGGCAACAATGGCTGCACCCTCACCGGTGGTGTCATCGCTAATCGCGAGTAAGCTTCCATTTTCTTGCTTTTGTCGCCCTTTTTGTAATATTTTAATTAAATATTGCATGTTTATTTTGACTTATTATATTGGAGATTCAAACTTAATTAAAAAATGAAATCAATTGTATGATTGAATGTGTGATTGCTGATTGGATTTACAGGGGAATTTCATGGGCAACAAAAGACAAGGTTCAACAAGCTAACTATTTTGGATCCCTTACTCAGGCATCCTCTATTCGTGTTGGCTCTTTCAATGGCGAAGAAATTTATGCTCCTTTTAAGAGTCTCCTTCCTATGGTGTGTATTTTTCGACTTCGTGCATGTCATTTAATTTTTTCGTGTCGTTTAAGATTATGCGCAAGTTTTTTTGAAGGTGTCATACTCCGTATTTTGTATCATGTTTAATCGTCTGAGTAATAATGCATTGTTATTTTATACGAAGTAGTTGATCAAAGCGAATTAAGTGCTCAAATAATATGGAATGAAAAGAATATTTAATTTATGTGGTCACTTGGTGAGTGAGTGGTGGCCATTTTGTGCGTGCTTCATTTTTATTCCCAAAAAGAAACTTTTGAGAAATGAATGGGGCATAAGTGAAAGGAGGGTCAACATCGATTATTGGATTTTTATTCTATTTTGCATCAACTTGTGCAACTAGTCAAAACTTTGATCTTGTGGTACAAATTTGCTACTTACGTTTGATTGCCCTATTAGACAATTGATTCTCACCTTGGTTATGTTTCAAATGGGGTAATTTGTGGGTCATTTGATGATGACCATGTACAAACTGTTAACAAAAATAAACAATCCACTAATCTTATATGTGTAAATACCTATAAAGGGTTAAAAGATTATGTCCACGATTTTAACAATGTAATCTTGTCTGTTCGGAATTAATAGTCGTGTTGATATGATGTACAGACATACAGTATATTGAACTAGTATGGTTAATTAAGATTTATTTTGATCTTGGAAATGATAATGAAGTGAATTTATATTTGGAATAAAACAGGTGAACCCTGACGACATTGTGTTTGGGGGCTGGGACATTAGTGACATGAATTTAGCAGATGCAATGACCAGGGCTAAAGTCCTGGACATTGATTTGCAAAAGCAATTGAGGCCCTACATGGAGCACATGATTCCCCTTCCTGGTATTTACGACCCAGATTTTATTGCTGCCAACCAAGATTCTCGTGCTAACAACATCATTAAGGGCACTAAGAAGGAGCAACTTGAGCAAGTCATTAAGGACATTAGGTATACAATTGTCAAATTTTCTTATATTAAATTAATATTGCTATATGTTTCTTTTTTTAATTAGTTCAAATCATTAGCCTTTTTATTGTTAAATTTGTTGTTAATGTACACATGGACTCTTTGTTCGATATGAATTTGTACCCGTAAAACACAGGTACAATCACTTGGGCGTTAAAATTAATGCAATAACATGAAATTTATCAGTAAAATGGCGGTAGGAATGTAGGATTGGCAGATATATAATGCAGGATTATAATTTAATATTAACAATTTGCATCTGAAACTGAAGGGAGTTTAAGGAGAAGAACAAAGTGGATAAGGTTGTGGTGCTTTGGACAGCAAACACAGAGAGGTACAGCAATGTCGTGGTGGGGCTGAATGACACCACAGAGAACCTGATGGCAGCTATTGATAGGAATGAGTCCGAGATCTCACCATCGACTTTGTATGCAATTGCCTGTGTTCTTGAAAATGTTCCTTTCATCAATGGTAGTCCTCAAAACACCTTTGTCCCTGGACTCATTGATCTGGCCATTAAGAACAACTCTTTGATTGGAGGAGATGACTTCAAGAGTGGTCAGACTAAGATGAAATCCGTGCTTGTTGACTTCCTTGTTGGGGCTGGTATTAAGGTATATCTTTGATAGTAATTCCTTAATTGAAAATATAAGTGTTGTGAACATGTATTGATTTAAGTATTTGGAATGACAGCCAACATCAATAGTGAGTTACAACCACTTGGGAAACAATGACGGGATGAACTTGTCAGCACCTCAGACCTTTAGGTCTAAAGAGATATCAAAGAGTAATGTGGTTGATGACATGGTTGCTAGCAATGGTATCCTGTATGAGCCTGGTGAACACCCTGATCATGTTGTCGTCATCAAGGTATATATATTGCTCTTTCACTCAAGAAGTATGATTTTTGTGTCACTGTGTTTTGCTATTGATAATTGGACTAACATTTTTGCATGTGCTCTGTGTAAATGAAGTATGTTCCATATGTGGGAGACAGCAAGAGAGCCATGGATGAGTACACATCCGAGATATTCATGGGTGGTAAGAACACCATTGTCTTACACAACACCTGTGAGGACTCGCTATTGGCTGCTCCAATCATCCTCGACTTGGTCCTCCTTGCTGAGCTTAGCACTCGTATCCAGTTCAAGAGTGAAGCAGAGGTATTAATGGACGGATATGTCAATCATTATCTTTTCTGTCAATTGTAAAATATGTCATATTAATTGATGGTTAATGGATTTTGCAGGACAAGTTTCACTCCTTCCATCCAGTTGCTACCATACTCAGTTACCTCACTAAAGCACCTCTTGTAAGTTCAATTTACTTTCTTATCAATTGCTTTTGGTTGTTAGCATCTGTTGACAGTTACCAGTTTAATTGCAAATTTGGAGGTGGTGCGCTAGAAAAAGCCCACATGTACACTAGTACATATTACATGAAACATAGGGATGTCTCTAGTGCTACTGTGCTTGTCTTTGATGTTAAACATTGTATATAACGTCTCACCAAAAAGTTTGTAGTCATTTTCGCGTCTCAGTAATACATCTGTCCCAAAATGATCTTCACTTTTGTGTAATAACTAATAAGTTCTATACTAATAAAATGGTAATTTGAAATCAATATGACAGGTTCCACCAGGCACTCCAGTAGTGAACGCACTCTCAAAGCAGAGGGCAATGCTCGAGAACATAATGAGGGCGTGTGTAGGTTTGGCTCCGGAGAACAATATGATCCTTGAATACAAGTAGAATAGCACGTGCATAAGCAGCACAGCAGCAGTAGCCGCCACCGCCACCTTTTTAAGGCATTGCCAATAAAAAAGATGATCTGAAAGTAGTTAATTTGTGTGTAGTGCTGCTGTGTTTTTGTATTAGTGTCTGAAAAGGCAGCACCCATTAATCAAATTTTAGCTTTTGTGGTGGTTATGCCCCTTCTTCATTATTTATATGCTTCTTACTGTTTCTCAGGTTCAACAACCTTTTCTATAAGTAGTGGTACCACTTTATGTCTTTGTAATGTATATTTTCTGGTGTAAGCAGCATTCAAAGGCAAGCAGTTTTTCCCTGCTTAGCTTTAATCTATGTAATTAATTGTCAGAATTTGAAGTGTCTAGTGCATTACTTCAAGTCCTCAAGTGCTCAGCTCTAATATTTTCGTATGTTCATACAAATCGCTTGCAAAAATTTAGCAGAACTATAAACGACTTAGGAAGAATGTTAAGACTTTGGCTTCATAATCAGTTGATTGTACTGGTTAATGTCTTATAATTCTATTCTAATTACAATATTGACCATCTAAGTATAATAATTGGCTCCCCTTCCTGACTTCATATTCATCTGATTGTGAATGGAGTCAAGCCCCTATGAGATTTTCCTGAAGATTTTTGAGCTAAGAATATTACAAGTATTAGATGTTAATGATTGTTTAGCTGATACACAAATTCACGAGAAATGTTGGACGGAATTTGATCTAAGAGACTTGGGCCACTGTAAACACAGGTTGACTGGTAGTAATTTAAAAACAAAAAAAAAAAAACAGAAACCACAACGATGCCAAACAAACCCTAAGTAATTGTTTCTGGATGCCGATTGATTGTTTGTAGGACTCGATTAAAGATTTGAAGTGAAGGTATGTTTGAAATTAAGCTTAGAGTACTGTTACTGAAGGGTGATTATATATTTCCGGACATTTGAAATAGTGGTAATTTTGGAACATCTCTGGACTCTGAAGTAGCTAGAAAGTGGTAAGCAGGCCCATTAATAAGAAGCAAGCATGTGCAACATAAATAGTATTGAATGAGACTTCCAGAGTTGATGGATGCTACACTAGTACACTACACCACTGATTATGCATGGCTTACCCATTAACCTACCACGTATTCCCTTTTGGTCCCGCTAGCTTGTGGTCTTCTACTACCAGTACTTTCTTTTTGGTTGTATTAAGCATATGCGTTATGGGTTATGACATAGTACGAACGAGGCAGACCTTAGCAAAGGAAAACTTTCCATTCTGTATGCGTGTATTGTGTTGAGCAAAAAAGAATACGAAAAAGAGGAAATTACAGATTTAAAGGTTCTTTTTTTTTTTTTTTTTTTTTTTAAAAAAAAAAAAAAAATACTAAATAGTATGTTTTGGGCCAGCCCAACTATTGGCTGATAAAAAAATTGAAATGTTCAGCAACATACCGGTCCATTGGGCTTTATCTCTTATTTTTGTATTTTTTTTTTTTTTTGAGAAAATCTCTTATTTTTGTATAATAACAGCTTCAACAAGTGTTTTATTTTTAATTTTGGAGTTCCTTTGTTTTCATTTACAGACTTACAGTACTTAAGTTATAACATATTCTGATTTTCTACACTATTTATTAGCTTTGATTAATTTTTTTTGAATGGGAAACTAACATCAATGTATACGAAGTAAAAATAAAGTTACTTTCCTCAAAAAAAAAAATAAAAAAATAAAGTGAAAATAAAGTTAAACCAATTTCATATAGAAAAAATTGAGATCAGAATTGTGTAAGCAAGCAATATAATCAAAATAGTGCTAGTATTGTGAAGCAAAGGTGGTAGTTTGTGTTGATAATGATTTTTTTTGCTAGCTTTAGTTCTTAATCATATTACACAAGGATAAGTTTTGTGTTTCTACTTATTTTTTTTTTTTAAAAAAAAAAAGTCTAGAATATGATTTTAATCCTTAATGTATTTAGTAAAAGTCATGCACTTGCACTGTATAACTATATATCATATACTCGGGTGAACATAATTCAGATTACGTATACATGCTAAAATTGCTAATATGAAGCAAATTAAATGAATGACATTCATGTAGCTTACAAAACCTAAGCTATCATGTTTATATTTGAATGAGATATGACTATATGAGCCTATGAGGTTACATTTAAATTCAAAAATTCAAACCATATCATCAAAATGTACTTCTCCAAGGTGGTGTCCAACATCTTTTCATAGGCAGCAGGTTCATACTTTCGTAGGATTGACTTTAGGAAGATGGTGCCACATTCTACCAATGCTTGTTTATTTAATCCTTGTTTTTATTTTTTAAGAAAACAATGAAGTCTTGAAATTAGATTAGACCAATATGTACTAGAGTAGTAGAGTTATGTTTAGGTCTCATAGCACATGGGAGCTTCAAAAAAAGAAAAAGAGATTCATATGACAAAGGTATGTAGGCATACAAGTTAAGCTTAAAAGGGTAAAAAAAAAAAAAAAAAAGAGAGAGAATGAGGGGTAAATGCAAAGATAGATGTTGAGCCCCGTTAAATATTATTGATACAAAAAAAAAAAAAAAAAAAAAAAAAAAAAAAATGGGAATGGTAAATGTAAATGAGACTGACATGTCAACCAGCTCAAGTCACTTCCTGCATTGCCATTGTTAATGCACTTATACACAAACAGATCACTTCCTTGGACTCCCCCCATCTATACTTTTCTACCTCTTTTATTTAATCATACATTCAAACTGTAGTACGAGTAATATTTCTCAGATCATACAAGTATTTCCTTAATTATAGATAATTAAATGTCTATAAAGTTTATAAAAAGGTAATTGTTAAAGGATCAATTCACCAAAAACTTAAGCTGGTGATTAAGGTATAAAAATATGTTTTATACTCTACCTGTAATAATTTAAAACGGTGAAGAAAGTCAATTAATATATGTCAATTATTATAAAACGAAGAGACTACCTTATCTGTTACTACTACAGTACGTACTTAATAAAAATCTTAAGCGAGGATGGTACTAACTGTTGGGGGATAGAATATTTGGAGGAACAGGTTTACCCTCCTGCAGTTCTGTAGCAATATTATTGGGGTATGTGATAAGCCTGACACCTGTTATCAAGTTGACTTTCTTAATTTGTGCAACTTATTGTTTTATTATTGCTGCACATTGTAAGAGCCCAGGAGTACATAGATTGTAGTTTTAGGGAAAAATATATGGATGATTATTATTAATTTTTTTTTTTTTAAATGGAAATAAAGGGTGCAAATTTACAATATTAGGACTGAAAATCTATACTGCAAGTAATAACTAAAAAAGGTCCTACCGGGAGTCGAACCCAGGTCGCTGGATTCAAAGTCCAGAGTGCTAACCACTACACCATAGAACCTTTGATGTTTTAGTAAATAGATCTAAACCATTTATTATAATACCAACGAGTTATAGCTAATACCCGTAACTCCGTAAGACTGTAACTTTTAGGCTCTTTATCTTTCTCTAGAAGATCAATTTGCCTACCTTTTTAATTTGTCCCTTAAAACTGCAAAAATTGCTCTAATTTATATGTATTATTATACCACTGTGCATGTAATGTCTCTTTATTTTTCTTTAATTGACAAATTTACTCTCATTTAATAGAACTCTTAATTCTATAGTCCTTAACAAAATGAGAAATGAGAATGCGACAACAAATAAAAATGACAAAGAAAGTATCCATAATGCCAAATAAATTACACGAGGGAAGCATTAATTTTGACGTGTACTAGGACAGCGATCCGAAGTAACTACATTAATGTGGTACATGAAAATTACTCCAACTATTTCTAGTTCAACTTGATCTTCACAAAGTTTCATATGTGGTTGGTCACATCGTGTGACCGTGGTTACTTGGTCAGGGTTATTCGGTCGGTTAAGAGTTACTCGATCAGGGGTTATTCGATCAGTTAAGGATTACTTGATCAGTCGGGGTAACTCGGTCAGTCAGGGGTTAGTCGGTTAGTAAGGGGTTACCTGATCATATTTTACAGATGTGTGTCAGTCGGCCACACGGTGTGGCCAGCCACACAAAAAATGCGTATCAAGCATTAATGCATTATTGATTTACATATAATTATTACACTTCAATGTTTGCTTGCTTCAGCCTTCGGCTATACAAGTACTAACTTAATCTATTTTTTCTAATTAGTATTCTGAATTAACTTATTATTGCTCAAATTGAGTTACTTACTCTAAATTTTCGTTGTCTAGTTTTTTCAAGGAAGTATGTTTTCCTTCATACTTCGTATAAGGTCAATGTCAACTTTATCAACAGTTTATATTAGTCAAAAGAAATAAACGACTGTGATTTAATCTAACAAAATGACCACAATTTTATAGATTTCTGTCCTACGGAGTAAAAGAAATTACTCATACAAAAATCAATTCAATTATTTGGAGGCGTTACTCACTCATGAAGTCATGATCATAGAAAGTCATGTATGTACTCATTATAGCTATACGAATTTTCCTATAGATTTGTTTGAACAAGCAACTGAGCAAGTACCTCACAGAAAGAAAAAAAAGCTGAAACATGTCTAGTTTCTTCTACAGTATGCATAGCTAGACATATAAGACAGCAAAACATTATAATGTGACCATCTGATTCATAACTCCTAATTCCAAAATCTACTGAATTTTCTCTCTTTTGTTTTATTTATATTTATAATTCCCTTTTATCCCCAAAAAAATCCAGGAAATAACGCGACACGAGGTTTTGTTATTTCATTTTCAATGTCTATTTTCTTCCCTTCATTAACTCTTGTTTAGAAGACAGAAGAGATCAATGTCAGTGTATATAAATATCAGAGTATTTTCTCTGCTACAAAACAACGTTATTTTGAAGTTTTATACACTTTTTTCAGTTTAATTTGTTAGAAGTTGAGAGATGGATAAAGTGGAGGTTGGGAGAGTAGGAAGATCCTCAACAAGTGAGAGATTGTTAGAGGTTAATTCAATTAGTCCGACCCCGGATAGCGCGAAATTAACATCAAGTGCTAGAAAAAGTTGTCATAAAAAAGTTCAGCAACATCTACAACATGAACAACACCCTAAAAATAGAGGACTGAAGATGTTTAGCAAGGTTCAAGTTGTGTATTATCTCACTCGGAATGGACAGCTTGAACACCCTCATTACATGGAGGTCTCCCATTTAGCCACCCAACCCCTTCGTCTTAAAGGTATGCAACATACTTCTTCTATGCTATTCCCTTCGTCTCATTTTATTTTTGGTTTAAATGGTACAAGTAAAATGATATAATAGTAATAAAAGTATTTAGTTGATTAATTTTTATTAATTACGACTAGTTGTAGATATTATTAAGAAGAATTTGGCTAGTACGTACGTATTATTTATGTATGCATCCTGATTCTCAAGTCAATTGCTGTATCCAAGGCTTGTTGTTACACCCGGCCCTATAATATGGTCCTCTCCTATAATGTAATTAAGTGATTAATTGTGTATTAGGAAATAATCATAAACCATGCATGTATCTTAAAATAATAAATTTCGGACACTTTTACTATACTCACTTCTTATATGTATAATGTATGCGATGATTACTATTTCCAAACTGAGAGAGTATATCTAGACGACTTTTGACTTTTAGACGTGAGCTAGTAATTATACGGAGCACTAATATTTTGAATTAAATCATGGAGTTTATAAATATATAATATATTAATATGGCTTAACGCCTTAATTAACTACAGTCGATAGAGAGTATATAATATGGTTGGTTGTGAAACATGCATGAAATATTACTCGTAGTCGTAAAATTATGTGTTATATATCTGAATTGGCGTGGCACATGATACAGATGTCGTAGACAGATTAGCGGTGCTAAGAGGGAAAGCTATGCCTAGTCAATATTCATGGTCTTGTAAAAGGTAATTCTATAATATTGACGCTCTTTGTAACATATATCATGACTAATTAATTTGGATTTTTTTGCTTAATTAATTGTGTAAGATTTGTGATGTTAATTGTATATTTCGTATGTAGGAGCTATAAGAATGGATATGTATGGAATGACTTGACAGAGAATGATGTTATTTACGCTTCTGAGGGATCAGAATATGTGCTCAAAGGATCTGAACTCGTACAAGAGAAAGACTACTCTGGTTAGTAATTCCTTGTTACATTAGGGTAATACAATTATAGAATTATAAGTGGACTCAAAATAACACTTTTCGGAAATTGAACTATATGTGACATGGTAACATTATCACGTGGTGTTACTGTAACAAGACTAAACCAGAGTAGTATGGACTATGGAGTATAATGTATGCATAACTTCTGTTTTTGTAACTAGATCGATCGTGTTTGTTTTTGTTGGTGTCTTCGTTTTGATGATAAGAACCTTTTGTCATACACTCCCTTTTGGTTATGTTTAGGGTCAATTTTACCTGTCTCTTTCTTGTTCTTGATTCATTCCTTCTGTTTTTTTGGTATTATTTGTTCCAGAATTTGTTGGGCATGGATATTTTAAATTAGCTGAATTATGTTTCAGAATATTACACTAAAGGCAGAGAATACTTATATACTCATAATTGTTTCTGCTTTTAGTCTTGAGAGAATATTATCCTCGTTTTTGTGCATCTTTAAGAAAAAAGAAAAAAAACTCTGCTGCTGACTATGAATATTTTTGGTAGTATGTTATGAAACATCCTAGTAATGATTTATGAATGGCAGAAATAAGATTAGAAGAGCTTCAAATCAAAAGGAGGCAGCAAAGGCAAGGTAGTCACATAAAAACAAATGGATTGGTGATGAACAAATCAGGTGGCACACATGAAGGACAAAATTATAGACAAGTAGTACCTAAGCATCAGGAACAAAAAGCTGTCAAGAACTATGAACAAACTGAGAATAACGACGATGATGATGAGGAGGAGGAAGATGACGAAGAGAAGGGAAGCTGCAATAGCTCAAATGCTCCTTATCCAGCTATGGAGCAAGAAGAGTCCTACTCCCTGCCTTCCACCTCTTCCACAAATTCGGACAAACTGCCGCCACCACCAACACAAGTAGCTAAAACAACTGCCTCAGAATCTAAAAGATATGAGAAAGAAACTGCTAGAATCATTGAGGAGGATGGGGAACCAGCAGTTTCCACAAGCTTGACTCGCAACAGCACGGTCCTCCTCCAACTGATAGCATGTGGAGGAGGCGGGATAGCTGCTCCCCAGGACAAGGCCAAGGACAAACCCAAACCTAATGTTGGGAGCAACAGAAATTTCAACTTTAGCATGAAGAATAGTTTTATGCCATGCTTGAAGCAGCAACTAAGTACTCGAGCTGTGAGTACAAGTAATAAGGCGATTCCTCTACGTGTTAAAGCAGGAGTAGTAGGAGATGAACGACAACCCTGCAGCAATAATCAGGATGTAACCATGGAATGTGAAGACGAAGATATGATGATGGTAAGGTACATGTCTGAGAATCCTCGGTTTGGAAATTTACAATCAGAAGAGAAGGAATACTTCAGTGGAACCATCGTCGAGGCCATGAGTACTCATCATCAGCACACTCATTCCTCAGGCTCTGCCTCTAGTTACCCTCACCCTCCTGTCTTCACCAAGTCTTCCTCCTACAATGAGCAAAGGTATCTTAAATTAAGCGATATGATCAGTTAGTTGCAGTAATGTTATTTAACTACTTGCTGTTCAATGTGTTTACAATTTGGTTGTACCTTACAGGAGCTATAAGGCAGGACTACAAGCAGAAGCAGCAGCAGCATCAGTAGCCGACATTGATGATGAGAAAGAAGACGCAAAAGTGAAAGGGTTTATCAAATTATGTATTCCTAGAAAGAAAAGTTTTTCTTCCACTTCCACCAAACATAATGTATAAGTTATGAGTATGAATCTCCCCATCAAACATACATCAGGTGTAGTAATTCCTTAAGTTGATGTAGCAGCCTAGCAGGTGTAACATACTAAATGTCAGAGCAGTGTTTTTCTAAGGAGACTGGCAAAAAGTTCAGCAAAATTCTACATATATAACCTTATTACAGCTACAGGATCTAAAACTAAAGATTAGTAGAATCATACAGAATATTGGGCCAAAGTTTTGGCAAAAAGGCTTTTGGCAAAAAGGCTTTTGGCAAAAAGGCATTTTTTTGTGCGGGCTTTTGATGATCTGGCAAATGTGAGACTATACAATCAGCCCACAATGTGAACAAACATTTTATAGCCCAAAGTGATGGCTTGTGATGAATCTGATCATAATATTACTTTGCTCTCTCTGTTTTAAAATAATTTTTCGATCTTATACAATCGTCTGTTTAAGGTCCAAGATTTGATCGTCTAAATTAATTACTCGTATGAATATAATTAACTGGATTATCGTTATCGTTAGATTTCTTACTCGCATAGTTTCAACATACAGAGTATTAATTTTTCCTAACAGATTGTTAAAAGTCAAACGATGAAGTTAACTGAAAACAGATGGAAATTCAATAGGGTAACAAATGGTACTATTATAAGGGTGACACACATGAATTGTCAAATTTATCATTGATGAAAGTTTAAAGATTGAAGACCGTCCACTTTCTTCTGTCTGAAGTCTGAACACTAATCAGAAAAATAATACTACAAGATCCAAAGTCAACGGCATAAAAGGACTTAGAAAGTTAGAATTGAGATCTGCGCCTAGTTTTTATCAATTGGGCTTTTTAAAATGAGATTGACATACTTAAGCACTACTTCAGCTCACTAATTTTAGTTATAAATGCACATGATGCATGTCAACACACTTGTGCAGTGGGTTTAACTTAATTTAAAAATTAGTTTTTCAGATTGATCTAAATTTTAATGTTTGCCTATTTTCATGGCGCACGGTATCATTTAAGCACCAAATTCATTTTAAATTTATTGGTAGCGTATAAAGTGGGTTCATGAAGGCTTAATTAAAAGGTATACCTAGTACAAGGGATTAAATGTACAATTACGTCAATTAGTATACTCATACTTGGTGACTTGGTAGTGTTGTTTAAGACGCATACAAGCTTAAAAATGAACAAACATAAACTAGCTTAGCTGTTTGTAAGATAATACTAAATTGTTCGAGGAACTGAAATTATTCACAAACTAATTAAAAATTCTATAGTAGACGGTCAGACATAAATAACATCCCTAAAAAAGTTATAAATGATAATTTAAGGGCGAGGGACAAAACAAAATCCGTTCTATACTATGAATTTACGAGTATTAAAAAAAAAAATACTACTAGTAGTAAAAATAAGCAAGAAGAGACAGAAGCGAAGTAGAGGGCGGGAGAGTAGGAAGCGGCGAGCAATGTGGTTTAATTTGTTAAACTCTGATTCACATTATTCTCCTTTGATTCATAAAGTCATTAAAGAAGCAGCACCTTCCTATTGCATCAGTGATCAGCACCCCATGTGATCGCATGCCACAACTCACTCATCTATGCTACTTCAATTCCCAATCTAGCACTATATATCTACTTGTATTTCTATACACCATCTTACTTTCACCTCTTCTCAAATTTCTTCTGCTTTTCCCTTACATACTGTGTGTCCATATATTATTGTGAAGATGACCAAGTTGGGGTTGCTTCTACTCGTTGCATTAGCCACTTTAGCAGCTACCACTGTGGCACTCGATACGCCTTACCAGCTCTCCGGTAGAGTCTACTGTGACACTTGCCATTTTGGTTTCGAGACTAACGTCACTAGATACATTCCTGGTAAGTCCTTCTAACCATTCTATTCATTCCCTAACCCATCGTTTTGGGACATATTCTTAATTGCGCTCGAATGTACATAAAAGTAGATGCACAACACCCAGGTGCATGTAAGATTTTTTTTTTTTTATCAATTTTGGAATAGGACTTTGGTTTTATTTTATCCTTTTGTGAAAGTGTTTGGTAAATAGCTCTTAATGACAAATGATAGGAGCCGAAGTGCATCTAGAATGCAAGGATGAAAAATCGGATACAAAGTTGGTTTTCCGTAACGCAACCAAGACAAACGAGAAAGGAAGGTTCACCTTCCACGTAGGCGAGGACCACGGTGATCAGTACTGTGATGTAGTCCTAGTGAAGAGCCCTTGGCCACACTGCAAGAACATCGATCCAGTCCGAGGCCGATCTCGAGTTATTATTACAGACCTTAACGGCATCAGGTCTTTCCGTCGTCATGCCAACAACATGGGTTTCTTCCAGGATTACGTCTTTCCGGTTTGTAGCGACCTCTACAAGTTCTATTTCCATTCTGATGACATGTAAGAAGCCAAAGGCAGTAACAACAAAAACCACATTATTTTTCATTTGAATAAAAATCTATAAATTCTTGTCCGTTCAAAAAAAAAAAAAAAAAAAAAAAAAAAATTGAAAATGAAAATTTGTACGTTATACCTTGAAAGTAAGCTAGATTCGGAAGAGTAGGTGACAAATGAACCAAGCTTCTTATTGGTTTTAATTTATCCTGTCTCCATAATTAGTGTACTCAACAATTAGTAATGCATTATTACTTTTATTAGTCTGCTGCTAGTCGATCAGTATTCGTTTAATGAATATATAGGTACTTAAATTGTGTTTGCTCATAAATTTTAAGTGTTGTAATGCTTATCCAAACGTACACTTGATTAATTGCGCTTGAATTAGGTTTCGGATGTGTGATTAGTGTCGTAGATTTTTTGTTGATTGGATATACTTCGTAATAAGCTGTTTAATTGGTGAAAAAAAACTGATTCAATCGAATATTTAAAGATGTATGTATAACAAGAAGTAAAAAAATATGTATAATACTATGATCTAAATTAATTGTAGAATTCTTGTCAAAAAAAAAAAAAAAATTAATTGTAGAATTATTGCATAGTCATGAAGATTAGATTTATTTTCAAAGAAAGTAGTAGTGTTATCTTTATAATGACAAACAATCACCATTAGACTTTTAATCAAAGAAAACACCGACTTTGTACTATTAATAGACCTAATGGTGTACCGTGTACTGCTATTTCACATTGGATAAGAGATACAAATAATTTGGCAAACCAGTTTCACTTTGAATTATAATCTGACGTGAGATCTAAAATTATTAATTAACTATTTGGATTGGACTTTTTAACACATTTAATTTTTGACGAGAAATCTTGTGTTGATGTCATAAATTGATCCTGGTAGACAAGGTCAACCTTAAGCTACCTTAGAAAGTTAGAAGGTTGCTTGAAATTTCTCTTCTTATAATTCTTCCATTATAAGGGTTGAAATGCTAATTCTTTCGGGAATCGGTGGTGCTAAATATAAAATTTGTACACGTATCTTAATTTTTACACTCGTGATCAAATAATAAAAAATAGGCATTGGAATACTACACTTAAAGAAAACACCTACTCCGTAATATGTTAAATTCAGCAATCAGAAAAAAAAAATTGGACTAAATATCAACAAATGATGATCAATGATGTCTAAATATTCCGTAATTAGTGACCAAATGACAAATTCAGTTATCCATTCAGTTGCCCAATTTAAGAAATTATGTGATCCGTATAATTACACTTGTATTGTATAGTAACTCATACTTCGTATAATGTTTTAAGTATTTAACCCTCCCCCCCAAAAAAAAAAAATCAGGATCCTGAAACCCATGGCGGGAAATTCTGAATGCAGGTCACCCCTCTCCTCTCAACTCATTCGGAAGCCCATTGCCTTTGCGGCAGAGATAGGACAGAGAATTATTTTTTCGGTAATAACATTTTCAAATAATCAACAAATGAAAGGACATTTATCATTTTTCCCATAATTTTCAATTTCAAATAATCAAGATCATTTTTTGCCCAGAAAATTCATTTATGTATTACTACATTGTTGATCCAACTTGAAATATAATCATTATTATTATTATATATAAAAAATTAAAAATGTCAAAAACAAGTCCTGCAGAAAATTCATCCACCTCTCCAACCTCCTCCTCTAATGATAACTCGTGTTCTTCTGTCGATAAACCTGTCAAGACATTCAAGAAAAAAAAGGTTCTTTCTTTTTCCAACTTTTTTTTTTATCTAATTTTTATGAACTTTCTGTAATTTTTTTTTAATCTTTGTAATAATTTATTTTTTGGTGGTGGGGCATTAGTCCATAATTCCAAAGATTTTCACCTCCAAGAAAAATGGCAGAATATCAGATGAAGAAGTTTCTGAATCAGGTCAATCAATCCACATTCTATTGTTCTTTTAACTTCATCTTAATTTCTATCAGTTTGTAATGTACGCCTTTGATCATTAAATTTTATGTGTCAACGTGATATTGTTGTTCACTTACTTTGTATTAAGTATTAATTCCGCCAAAAAGTTAATTGATAAAAACAAAAATGACTTTGTATTATAAGTCAATATATTACGTAAGAGTACATGTTTTTCTTGTACAATTTTGCTTGTATTAATAAGCCATTAACCTATTTTACAGAAAGTGACAAGAAACTTACAGAAAGAAAAAAAGCATTCCTAGAAGACTCTCGATTGATAAGAAAGAGTTTCTCAGGTAGGCCTATTAATCATTTACGTATAACTTTAAATCAATTATATGTTTTTACTTTTTAGTCTACAAAACAAATTTCTTGTCTTATGAAAATACGTTGTATAAATATGTAATGAATTAGTCAAACTGTATTTGAACAATATATATTTCCTCTGTATTTTCCAGTTCATAATCTTATAGTCTTTGGTTAGCTCACCTACTAAATACGAATTTTCCATATTGCGGCCCAACCATGCATTAATATGGTCGAGGAAGACGCAAAATGAGTAATGTCAAACGTGCTAAAAATGGTTTGCCATATAAAATCAACAAGTGAAATATATGACATTGCGAAATTGAATTATTATACAAAATTGTACTTGATAATTCTACTAAAGTTTAATGTTTTTGTGGTGTAATAAAATGTGTAATAAATTTTCAGAAAGAAAGACTAATTCACATATTGAAGGGTTGGATTTGTCCAATTTTGATTCATCGTTAGCATCAGTGGCACCTGTTACGGACAGCATAGATTATCGGTATGCATATATTTTCCTTATAATATAATCTTGTTAATGTTACATACATGTATTGTAATTACCCTGCACTGCACTTGTTGAATTAGTTGCTTTGGTTGGAATTTGTAGGATATTTGTGGGAACTTGGAATGTGGGTGGGAGAGCTCCAAATAATGAGCTTAGCCTCGACGATTTCTTGCAGGTCGAGAGTTCTTCAGATATATATGTAGTTGGGTATGGTTCATTAAATCACTAGCTCATCTCTTTTCAAATTTGCCTAATGGTAAAATTGCAGCTTGTATGACAATGTTTTATTCAAGGGATGATAGGTTAATCTCTAAGATTTGTGAACATTGTCATGTCTAATTACAACAATATGAGTTTATGTGATTATATTTCATTTTGCCATATAATAAAAGTGTACTCTTCTATTTCAGATTTCAGGAAATAGTACCTTTGAATGCAGGCAATGTTTTGGTGGAGGATAATGAACCTGCAGCAAGATGGCTAGCCTTAATAAACACAACATTAAATCGGAACAATTATGATTCCTTGCATTCCCCGGGTGATTCTACTCATTCAAGCCCAAACTCGAAAGCATCCAAGGACTTGAAATCTAATTTCTTCCAGAAGCCTAATCTGAAAGTTCTTAGTAAGAATTTCAGAGTGGACAGCAGCGTTGTCAAGACCTGTAATTGCTGTTTTGATTCAGTGACAGTACTTCCAGAAAGGCATAGACCACGGCGTATACATGACAATCCTTTCCAAACTCGTTACACAAGTAGCATGGAAGAATTATGTTCAATTGTTCCAGAATTACCTGCTGTCCCTGGTCTTAATGAATATAATCTCATTTCAAGCAAGCAAATGGTCGGCCTCTTTCTTTCGATTTGGGCTCGAAAAGAATTAGTTCCATACATTGGGCATGTCAGAGTTTCTACTATGGGCACCGGAATAATGGGCTATCTAGGGAACAAGGTACACTTTGTTTACATATAAAAAGCCTTGGTTTGCATTCAGAACAAATATACTACATACCGTCCTAAACAAATTTGTGAATCGATGTAATGACTCGTGTTGGGTGATTTATGTGCAGGGATGCATATCAATAAGCATGACACTCCACAAAACTAGCTTGTGTTTTGTATGTTCTCATTTGGCTTCCGGACAAAAAGAGGGAGATGAGCTTAGAAGGAATGCAGATGTGGCAGATATATTAAAGGGCATGCAATTCCCAAAGATATGCAAGAAATCCGAAAAAAAGGCACCTGAGAAGATCATTGATCATGAGTATGCTTGTATTCACCTACTTTTTCATCATAAGCATATTTAGCTCAATGTATATAACTCATTCACCACTTGATGTATAATATAAGGTTAAATTGATTGCAGTCGAATCCTTTGGTTTGGAGATCTTAACTATCGCGTGTCTTTGCCTTATGAAGAAGCTAGGCTTCTCCTAGAGGGCAATGATTGGGATACCCTCCTTGAGAAAGATCAGGTTTGTGATCCTCCCATTTTAATCTGAGACTGTTCAATTCTTATTTCTTAAATAAAAATTACAAATTTGCTGTCTATTACTCTGCGTTACAAAATTAGTGTGACTTATATGCAGCTGATCATAGAGAGAGATTCGGGTAGAGTGTTTAGTGGATGGAAAGAAGGACGAGTAATGTTTGCACCTACATATAAGTACACTCAAAATTCAGACATGTACGCCGGAGAGACTGCAAAATCCAAAAAGAAACGGCGTACCCCTGCCTGGTGTGACAGGATATTATGGCATGGACAAGGTATTGAACAATAACACTATGCAAGAGGGGAATCGAGGTTTTCAGATCATCGGCCTGTATGTGCCGTGTTCTCTATAGACGTGGAGGTGAAGCGTAAAATTGGCACAAAATATAGGAAAGGTCATTCATGCACTGGCTCCAGATTAAGTGAGTCTGTGCCTCAACGTACAGTTTTTATGAGTACTGAATTCTAAGCTCTAACCACATTACAACAATCATTTTTTTTTTTGTAAAGTTCATTAGATCATTTTTGTTTGCACCAAAAATAAAAACTAGATCATTTTTGTTGTAATTACTAAGAAATTACAGCAGCAGTAGCAATCTACAATTTTGATATAGTTACAAGTTCTATGTTAGTCTAACTGTACTACGAAGTAATTTATTTTGTCATTACAATTATAATACGAAGAAACTTATTAACTCGAAATTGTTAGACGTGTACTTTAAAATGAAATACCCATAGTTACTTTCTATTTATTGTTTTTTTTCCCCCTTTTTTTGCTAATTTTAAAATAAAAGGATTAGGAAGAAGAAATAAAAAAGAAAAACCTTTTAACACACCCAACTTTAGGATGGCAAAAAAAAATAGAAAGAATGCAGAAAAAGGATTTGGATTCACTTTGGGCCGCTCCAAAGTCTAAAGGCACCTCACTGGATTGACTACATATGGTGATTGCGCGGACTTCATCCCCACCTGGCTACTAATCCATATTTCCTGTTTTGTTGATTATTTTCGCTCCCTTCGTTCCATAATAATTAATATATTTGACTTTTTTTTTATTAACTTTGACAATCTTTTATTGCTCTTATATATTCACACATTAGTAAAGGTTTCAATTATAATAAAGCTAATCAACTATAATTTCATTCGTTATATATTAATGGTTACATGATGCCAACCATGTAAAGTTGTGAATAGACGAGCTATGAGTGATAGATTGTATTACAAACACCCCTGGGTGTTTGACAAATGACTTTTTCATTAGCTTTTATCTTGGCCAAACATTTAAAAAATGTACCACATTTGGTAAATGGTTTATTTGAATAAACAAAATGACGGAGATAGAGGTAATGTATTACCGAATAAGTAAGGGATCAGAGTTTATTTTTTGGTTGGTAAGGAGAAGGGCCCTACTGGATCGGAACCTCTTACAGATCCTCATGCCCCGAGTTAACGGACTAGATACTTTGAAAGTGGGGGGAGGGATAAGGGAATTTCAACGGGGTTTTAATCTGACAACCTCTTATTGTGAGAAATAAACTTTCCTACTAGCTTAGACCAAGCTTTACTTGGTAGGTAATGGCTTAGAGTGATTAATTAATTTAAAGCACTGAGGGTGAATATACCTACTCTTCATATCATCCACTAAAACAGGTACAGTACTAAAGTAAATGGCTTAAATGGAGGAGGGTATACAATATTACAATTGGAGAAAAAGCAAGGTAAAGTGGATTTGTTTGGACGTGAGAAAAAGGCAGGAATAGAATCCCATCCCACCCATGAACACCACCAAGGCGCAAGGCCACAAACCTTGTAAGTTGTCACTACTCCTCCTGTATACAAGGATTTTTTTTTTTTTTTTTTTTTTTTTTTTTTTTTTTTTATGTCTCAAATTTTTTAAAAAATTATCACATTTTTTTTTTATTAAAAATACTGAGTTTAGTAGTAACTATTATGATACATAAATTTACTTTCATATACATTACATTTGGTTTCTCCAATTTCATCATTCATCAACTCAATCTTACGGAGTGTTAAATATTAAGCTAAGCATAGACAAAATTACAATAAAAATCTTAACAAAAAGTCAAAGATGAAAAAAGAGAATACAAGTATAAAACTTGTCAAAATTACAACTTTTTACCATGGGTTCACATAAATATTTTATAAAATTTTTTAACAATTAAATTCAACCAACACGCTACACATCAGTACACCACTACAAGCCCTTTTCCTAAAAATCTCGTGTTCTGAAGAATTGAGACCTAAAAGAGTAGTTTTAACCTCCTAAGTAAGCCATAATTTTATTTGTGAATTATGAATTACGGAGTACTACTATGATTTATGCTCAAATGAAGCTAAAATCAAAGTATAGTCGTAATTAATGTGGGAATCTTAACAAACAAAATTAAGACAAAACGAGCCGTTGGAGAGTTATTAGAGTTCCATTAAAGGCCGTGAAATAACAACATTTAGTATATTGTACAGTACTAGAATTTCTGCTTGGGTCCCCACTCTCCTAATTCTTACTGACACACATTTACACCCTTGAATTTTCTCAGAGGTTTTCCCTCTTGCTCCTCTCCACTCAAACAAACATCCTCCCTTTTCCATTAATCTAACCTTTCCTTTATAATCCCTCTTAAAATTAACTTAGTTGGTTTTATACCCTTTTATCCAAAACTTGAGATCAAATCTTATCATCCGTAATTGATTAAATAATCAATCCGCTGCTCAACTCATAATCATAGTTTACGAATATATTTAGTGTTGAGTTGGATTACCATACCACTAATAAAGTAATAAATACTTACTACCGTTACAAGTACTAAAGATGAGTAATTTATCTGGTAGACTAACCAAAATATTTTCATTACTGAACAGTAATCAGTAATTACACGCTTTTCGAGGCCTCCCATATCATATCTCTCACTCTTTTCATTACTGCTGTTTTTTTTTTTCAACTTTAAAATCGCTTTTCCCACTAATACCACCATCATTCTACATGTCAGCTTCTTCTCCTAAATCTCCATCAACCCTCATAACCTCATTATTCTCAAATTTTAACATTTCCTCAAAATCAAAACTTTTTAAAAAATGGGAAGTTCAAACTCAAAACCAGAAAAAACAGCAGCACTAGGAATGTGCAAACAAAGAAAACGCCTAATTAACCAAGCAATTAATTCAAGATACAATCTAGCAGCTGCTCATATTTCCTACATTCAATCCCTCAAAAACATCGGCATTTCACTTCGTCGATTTGCAGAAGCTGAAGTTTTGATTGAATCTTCAATTTCTCTCTCTCCTACTCACAACACTGATCAACTCGACAAAACTCCTTCTCACTCTTCTTCTTACCACCCTTCTCCTTCCCTTTCACATGACGATGTTGTCGAGGTTTGTTCCTCGGAACCCGGATTAAGTTGCATGAAATCCGGCGTTGTCGGCGGAAGTGGCAGTGTTGCTGTTACTTTAAGGTATAATCCTAGTACTAACATTCATAGTTTCGTTGATAATAATGATGATGATTCCTTGGTTTTTCCGATGCCTCCGCCGCCACCTCCGCCGCCGCCGCTTCTTCCTGAATCGGAAGCTTCTTGGGATTACTTTGAACCCGGAGATGAAAAGCCCAGACCCGAACCCGAACCCGAGAGTTTTCGGTTTGTGGGTTTGGGTTGTAATGGGCCTGAAAGTGGTGTTGGTGGGAGTATAAGGTTGTGGGGTGAAGAGGGTAGTGTTGGAAATTTACAAAAGGTTGAGGGTGGGGTTAGTAAAATAGGGGGTGGTGATAGTAATTCTGGGCAAAAGGAGAAAGATTTGGGTGAAGAAAGGGAGGATCCGTCTGAATTTATTACACATAGAGCTAAGGATTTTGTGTCGAGTATTAAGGATATTGAGCACCGGTTTTTTAGAGCTTCTGAATCGGGTAAAGAGGTTGCTAGGATGTTTGAAGCTAATAAAATTCAGGTCGGGTATGCCGAGGCCAAAGGTACTGTATTTTTGTGTTTGATTTTGTAGGAAATTGGATGTGTTATTCATGTGAAATGTAATATATGTACATTTTTTATGTTTGTAGGAGGCTCATCTTCATCGGAGCTTTTAGCAGCTTGTCCTTTGGTTTTTTGTCGTGGCAAAAGTGTTCATGATGCTAATGGTGAGCTTTAATCGTCTATTGCTATATAATGAATGTACTCGTGTATAGCATTACTATTTTGGGATGTTCGGAAAAAGAGTTTTTGAGTCTCCTAAATGATGTGGGTTGTGATTATTGGGTGATAGTCAGAGGGAATGTCTTAACAATTACAAATGGTTTATTATTGATATAATGTCATATTGTTGGGTGTAATGGTTATTTTTATCCTGACTTGCATAGGTTTGTGCTTTAAGCATTTTAATCATGCTTGAATGGGTAGGGTTATAGAGTCTACATTGTATTCACTTTGTTGCCGTTTTAGGTTGTGAAGCAAATAATCTTAGTTGGTGAATTTGGTTTCTTATTCAAGATCAGTAGCCGAATTAAGGCTTGACTGGCATTGTTTCCTATTTTGATTAAGTTAATGTTTAATTTGCTACTGCAATTTTGTACAGTACTTGAAAATGATTGATCTTTCTAGTTCATATTTGATGAAGATTTTGTTGTTGCTACCCATAGATCTTCAGCAACAAAATGTGCCCAAGATGATTGTATGGAACCGGTCTACATCTTCACAATCGTCATCATCAAGGAATCCTCTTGCCTCTGCATCTAAAGATGATGCCGATGACAGTGGTAGTGAGTGTGTAGAAGATTTTTGCATGATTTCAGGAAGTCATTCCTCCACTCTAGACAGGCTCTATGCATGGGAGAGAAAGTTATATGATGAAGTCAAGGTATTTCTACTTGCATTCTTTCCATGTGAACTGAATTTTGATGTTTTCTAGTTGCTAGGGTACACAGGATAATGGAAGGTTAAATTATTACTAGTTATCATTTGTGTGAGATCATTTTTGAGAATATTCCACTTGGGTAATCTGTTTCTCAATTACGAGCAAACTTGACCAAGAAAATTGCAATGTTTGGGTGTAAGATGATTTATTTCCCTGCTAGGGAATTGTTTACCGTGTTTAGCTTTCCAAAGAGAAGTGTAACAAGTGTGTTGACCTTTGTTGACATATGTAGTTCCTAATCAGTGTAGCATTTATAAACCCTGAATTTCATGCATAGACTACTCTGAAATGAAGATGATATAAACATTGTTTTTGCTCTTTGCGGATGAGATGAACTTTCTATTTATGAAAAATGTCACAACTTTGTGTGGTATTCTTATTTGATCAAACATCATTGAACTGTTGGTGACTTGGTGAGGTTAGGTTGATTTTTGTCTTCTACATTATGCAACCTAGGCTTATATCGAAAATTGGAAAAGGCTAACACTGATGTGCAGGTTCCCTATCACCATCTGTAAGTTACGGAGCGATTATGATACCATGAGGTATTTAGCCCCTTTAGGTTTGAAGCCTGTCAAGAAATCAGGAATAATCCAACTGTAGCAGGACTTAAATTAGAATATTGTGAAGTCCTGTACCGGTTTTATAACGAACAGAAAGGAATGCACTGGAGGAGTGTTCAAAAATCATCATTTAAGGACAGTGAGTTGTCTTTATTGCTTGGTGATAAAGTACTTGCTCCGTCTCAAAAATAGATGTTTCACATTAAAATTCAGAAAGTACCTCAGATAAGGGTGGTATAGTGATGTTTTACGCCTAATATGTTATTATAGGGAGAGATAGGGGAGCTAGTGCAAGTATTCTCATTTTTACCTTTTATCTGTTTTAGAGTTAAGAGTTTCTCTGATTTAGTGATTTTATCTTATTAATCATTAGGCCAGTGAAGTCATCAGGAAGCAGTATGAAAGGAAATGTGACCAACTCCGCCATCAGTTTGCAAAGGATGTTAGTACTCATGTAATTGACAAAACCAGAGCAGCTGTAAAAGATCTGCACTCACGCATCAGAGTGGCCCTTCATGCTGTTGATTCCATAGCAAAGCGCATTGAGAAAATGAGAGATGAAGAATTACAGCCCCAACTTACTGAATTGATTACTGCGTAAGATATCAACTCAGTTCCTTTTTCTGGCAGGAACTTGGGATAGGGAATATACCAAATGATAGATGTAATAAAAGAAATTTGGAATAATAGAAAGCGAAGTAGATGGCTCGACCATCTTCCTAACTAATTGGCACAGCCATGATAGACCGTTAGCACCTCTACCTAGTCGTAAACTACAGGCCTTGTCATTCCCATGTCTTGTATTGTCTTTTAAGTTAAGTAAATTTTACCATTTTTCATCAAAATTATGGAATGAGTTAATGATTTGTGGATTTCGTGCAGATTTATAAGGATGTGGAAAGCCATGTTGGAATGCCATCATGCACAATACATAACAATATCATTAGCTTACCATGCTAAGACTGCTATGGGGACCTTGGGAAGCGAAGCACATAAGCAAATAATGGCTCAACTCCAGTATGAATTCGAGTGCTTTGGTCTCAGTTTCGCGGACTGGATGAATAGCCTCACATCCTACGTGGAAGCTATCAATGGATGGCTACAAAATTGTGTGCTGCAGCCACAGGAACGTGGTCGAGGTAGCAGAAGGCCATTCTCCCCTCGCCGTGTCGTGGCCCCACCAATATTTGTCCTGTGTCGTGATTGGTCAGCAGGGATCAAAGCTTTGCCTTCTGAAGAGGTCAGTGATGCAATTAAAAACTTCTTGTCCGACCTGCAGCAACTGATAAAGCAACAGCAGCAGGCAGAGGAGAAAAAGGAGAGAGCAGTTTCAGAAAGCAATGGCGAATTACAAGAGGGGAAGGACGAAGATGCCAATGAGGGTAAATCTGAGAATTTGGGCTCTATCCACACGAGTTTGACAAAGGTGCTTGATAAACTAACCAAATTCTCCGAGGCTTCCTTGAAACTCTACGAGGATATTAGACAGAAAAATGAAGCAGCTCGTCTTGCATATTTGAATCCTAGACCTTTCAGATACTGAAACTCTGAAAGGTCCATGTAATTACTACTGAAAATATATCTGAGCATTTTGCTTCTAATACATCAAGTTTCAGAATTATAATGCGGCGTCTGCAAAACTGGTAGAACAATTAGCCAGAAAAGCAAGAATTTCAAATCAGTGCCTGCCTTTTCATCCCTATTTAACATCATCTGTTATCTGAACAGGCACTTGGCCTGCATGAAAGGGTCATGTAAATAAAGATTGTTGACATTGATTAGGAAAACTTGAATCTATTAGTTGCATTACGTTGAGTGCTTGAGAACCTTGCACAAAGTTGCACAATTAAACAATCAGATACTCTCCTCCTTCAATTTTCTTCTTATTCTATGTCAAACCTGAGATTGAGATGCCAAAGAAACTGCATGCTCGTACAAACATCAGCACAGCATCTTAGAAGACTCGTGTCAAAATAATGTCTAACGAGAGCCAAATGTAACTGCAACTCCTTTATGCTAAAATGTATCTGAAATGTTTTCTTTTAAAAGTCTATTCTTCTGAAGAAATTAATGATTTTTCATAAAAGAATTGTTTGAACATAACGAATAGCCAATTATTCAGTGGACAGAACACATAAATAAATATTCTAACTAGTAATATGCTCACTCAGGTATAACAATGTGTATAAAATGCAGAAGAGCAGACGATTTAGATACATTTGATCCAAGCCAAAAACAGCAAGGGCGTCTTCTACTGTCACGGCCTCATAGGGACTTCTACTCCAATCCTCCACACCCCCAAAGATACCATGGATGAAAAAAGGATTTGGCCGTGGGAATCAATCCAACAAAGTTACAGAATAATTTTTTTCCCTTTTATGGGCAATCAATCCCTGTTTCCAGATCTAGAATCCAACCTGTTGTGTATACTGTGTATAAGCTTCCTTTTGCATTGCTATCGGGGCACGAGTAACACCGTCTGGAAGGTCAAAAGCATCAACTAGCTCCTTTGCTATATTCCTTACTTGAAAGCTAAGATAGTCTACCAGCTTATGGATAGCCTGCAAAACCGCCATTGATTTGAACATAAGCACTGCACTAATTTTAACTTGCCAGAAACGTATTAAATTGCTCTTACAGAAAATGGATGCTAGCATAATATTCTTGCTAAAAAAACATTTTAGGCATTTGAAATACTGTTCCTTTTGAATGATAACATGATTTCTACACCCTCGACTGATAAGAAATCAATTGTATTCAAAATAATTTTGCAAAATCTTACTTTCTCTTATTTTATCAAATGATATGAAGCAAAGTAACATCCTGCAAAAAGAAGGTAAATAATCTGAAGTAAATATCTAGGAAACAATACCTTAGCTTTGTTGGGAGCTACATAATCCACATTGCGATAAGTTCCTATGTCATTCCAAATGCGGTCCAATGCATATAGATCGCAGGCAAGTTTTAAAGCAGCACGGCTGCTCTCATCAGGGCAGCTGAGGAATAAAAGGATCACAAATAAGCATCAGTGAATAAACATAGGAGACTTGAAAGAAATATAACCAGGAAGAGGGGCTTGAAATATTGATATGAGGTCAGCGAAAGAAGGTGAAAAATAAACCTTTTTACAGCATCAATGAATTTTGCAAGTATGACAGATTCAATGTGAGACTCTGCTAGCGTAAGAAGGTGATTTAAGCATCTATTCCAAGCACCAAAATTGCCTAGAGTTTTGGAGTGCTTTCGGAGACGCAATGCAGCACTATGAAGAAGCCTTGATGTTCGGTACTGCAACAAAAAAATAAAAACTCAACATTAATACAAACATCCTGTTTATAGGTGAATAACAACAATTATAGACCATTATGTCAAGCCAGTTACCCTGAAAGCGTCCAGCTGAAATTGTGGATCTCTAAGATGCTCTTCACCTTCCCAACGAGCAGTCACAGGATTCGGAGCAGAGAGATATGCATTCATTGACTCCCTCAAATAGTTCCATGTCCCTGCAATAGCACCCCCTTGGAACTTCTCCTGGTACCTTTTCAATAGATCCCCTGCAACCTGTGTATTTGGCAGCAAGTCAGCTTCCTGAAGTCATCATATACCCCAACACTACTACAACATACGAGATTGTAGCAGTAAAAATATTCAACGGTAGTACAGTAATCATTGTAGCAGATCAATGAAAAAAAAGACAAGACTGAGAGCCCAATCTGATCACGAACCTACTATACAGTAATTGAGCATAGAGGCAACAATTACATCTTACAAGGTTATTAAAGCTAATCAACAATTAAAATCTTTTACTATATAGGAAAGGCAAAGATGCACATGGGAAAGCAAATTAATTATTGGCTCATTAACAAAATACCAAGGAGTTTGATCATACCTGTTGCAGAAGCACCGTATTATCACCTTCAAATGTCTGAAATATATCATGATCATTCCTTAAGCTGCCAAACCTGTTCACAGCAGCATAACCATGACCTCCACAGGCTTCTCTGCAGATACTTATCGACTTTGCAGTAAATGAAGTCACATATGCCTTTAGACCAGCTGAAAGAGCATGGACCTCACCCACGAGCTCATCATCGTGAGTCTTCTTCATCTCGGAATACTTATCTACCAGATCTAGTGTTGCAAAGTGGAAAGCATAGGTTGATGCCAACATGGGCATCAGCTTATGCTGCTGAGATTGATAGTCAAGAATACTAACTTCCGGTTGCTTTGGAGGCCCGAATTGCTGTCTTAAAAGAGAGTATCTAATGGCTATGGTAGATACAATTTTAAGCACACCAACAGAAGAATAAGCAAGGCCAACTCTTCCTCCTACAAGTTCTCCTAAGGTGGCTGCAAATCGTTTGTTGATGGTGGGAAGACTGCTAGTATACTTGCCATCACGTGAAACATCCCCAAAGCGATTTAGCAAGTTATCTCGGGGGATTCTCACAGAACGGAATCGCAGAGCTCCGTTATCCACTCCGTTCAGGCCAACCTTATGACCACAATCATGTATTTCAATTCCCGGAAGAACTTCATGAGTCTTCATATCCCGAATAGGAACAATGAAGGCATGGACACCCATATCAGTAACACCTTTGGCATCATGAGATGGCAACATTAGCTTTGCAAAGACTGTAGCAAACTTGCCATGAACAGCTGCATTTCCAATCCACCATTTAATGGCCCCGTCGTTAGGTGTGTCTATTATGAATTCGTCTGTGATGGGATCGAATACTGCAACAGTCTGCAGGCCCTGGACATTTGAGCCTTCCATACACAAAATATCAATTAAATTTAGACATAAAAAGATATTCTAACATGTCACTAGACAGCAATGTGTTAACAATCAGTTCCTCAGATAGAAACCTTTACACAGTCATGGTCTCATGGAGTATTGGTAATGATAAATATAATCAATCTGTTAATATTGAGAAGATAAAATTATATACTCGGTACAAAACTACTAAATAAAGATATAACTATAATTACATGGTCATAAAAGGATTGTGCAAGTTACAAAACATATTGCAAGTTCTCACAACTAGATACTGTTAATCCAACATGAATTAGTTAAAAGAATCATGAATCTATACCTTGTAGGTTCTCTAAAACATGCTTTGAAATTTTTTAGCTTTCTTATACTGTTTCTGTCCGAAATTAAAATAACGGAGTAATGTTTACATTGATAGTGTAATTTAAACTAAATTGGTCAATCAAATTTGGACACAAGGAGCATAAATTAAGTACTAGTACAAATTGTAAAAATATCTCATGTCATCACACAGTAAAGGGAATGTTAATTTTACCATGATGAAGTTCTGTCATAGCAAAACAACCCATATAATCAAGGTTGTCAATTCCATCAAAGTACTTATCTTTATGCTTTTTAGTTCCCAAATTCAGCACTGAGCCTCCCCATAAACTGCACCACATCCACATTCACCAAACAAATCAAATCAAATCAACCAAAAGACACAATATTATAACAATACTCACTCAAGATCGAAAGTTTTGTATAAAACGGGTATATTGCCTGTAAGGCTGTTACCAAAACTTGGTTACGGGTTGCCCCAAATCACATTAAAGTTGCACGACTCACACCATCACAAAGTCGACTTTAATGTGACTCGAGTCTAATTAAATACACCCATTGTATACAAGTTTCCGTGATGACAACGTTACACATAAAACAAAATTTAGTACCTGTATTGAACACCCATTATAATCCCAAGAGACATATCAATACCCCCGACAGCTTCAATCATCGCAAAATACTTAGAAGGTTCATCAACAACAAATCGAAAAGGACGAATTCCAGCTTCTCTAACCAAACCCACAAGTTGTTTCAAACACAATTCTCTATGATCATCTTTTAAGATTTCAATTGGGGTTTGAAGTTCAGGTCTTCCTTTAAAATATTCATACACTTTTTCTTGAATATCTCTGTATTTTCCTCTCATGTAATCTGATAAAGCTTCCATATTTACTTCCATGGCTGCCTTCTTCCCCTTTTCTTTCTCTCCTCCTCCTTCTCCCCTGCATCTTTCAACCTCCATTGATGATGTAATTTCATTCTTGATGATTATTGGGTGCAGATGCAATCTCAGCCGTTCGATCCGACGGTTGATGATTGATAAATTCTCTGATAAATTTTCTTCCTCCGCCGTTTGATTCATCTTCTCCGATCTTCTTTGCATTTTGAATGATTTTTTATTTTTTTGGGATTTTTTTCAAGAATTTTTTTTATTTTTTATTTTTGGGGCAATTTTCTTTGATAAATATGGAATTATGGATGACTTTCTATATTAAAAAAAATATATTGCGTTGTAATCCGGTAATAATTTGAATACGTGGAGTTGCGTGATAGGATATAGTTTTGGCGGGTGTAATTTATACTACTGACGCATTTTCTGTCATAAAATTATATAAAATAATAAGGTTGTTAGACGCTCCGTCCAATGAAAACATAGAGAGAGGTATGAATGAAGATATGATTGTTGAGTAGGACATTATGTGTGTTCTTCGGTCAAGTGATCAACCCATCTCCATTATCTGATCTTCAATCTTCATCACGTCCAAATTGTTTCCTTCTTTCCAA